CTCCAGAACCCGCTCCCCCCCATCCCCTTAAAATAGGATTAAATCATAAATTGATTAAAAATACAATATTAAAAGCAGATGTGGCGTAGGGAGTCGGACAATGGGGCCCAGCAAGGAAACACAGACCTTGCCAACCTCTGCCTTGCTAAATCAAGCCCAAAGTCCCAGTATCAATATATGAAGTTCTAATCTGAACTAGACTACCTAAGTTTGCAGTATTTGGCAGAGGCTGTGAGGTAGGGAGTCAACACAACTATCAAGAATGGGAACTTTGTTATGTGCTGTCAAGTTGATTTTGATTTGTATGAATGAAGGATGTCCAGGTGACCCAGTTATTATTCCTGTTCTATTTCAGGGAAGGAAAAAAACAAAATTCAAATATATGGCACAATCAGAAAAAGATTGTTATAAGGCCATGAGCAGGTAAGAGTAGTTGTTTCTATGTCTGCTTCCTGAAGATATTTTCTGTAGGGTGATGTAATCTTGTACAAATATGTACCATAAAATATATGGTCCTAGCCCAAGGAGGCAGAGTATAACTTTTCAATCATAGAGTTACATGATTGTGCATTAGTGGAATGCAACACACTGCAACTGACTGCCTCGGCAGACGACTAATAGAGTCGTCTTCCGGGCAGGGAAGAGGAGGGGCAGCCGCACGTTCGGCGCCCCTTCCTCTCCCTGAGGTCGCCCCTGGAAGCGCCGGCCATCCGCACGGCCGGCGCTTCCGGGTTGACCTCACGCCGCGGCGACCGCACTCGCCGCGGCGTTTGAGGCAGGGAAAGTGCGCCCGCCACTTTTGGGGCGCACTTTCCCTTAAATCTAAAAGGAGCGCCAATTTGGCGCTCCTTTTAGATTTGCCGGAGAAGCGCCGCAGTGAGGCTGCCTTGGCCCTGCGGCGCTGCGGACCAGGGCGTCTTGGATGCCCTCGTCTGCATCCCCCCTGAATGTATAGACAAAGATAAAATGTAGGTTGTAATGCATCTTGCATATCTGTATGTGCAATAGCATAGTTGTATCATATGTACAACTGTTTCTGCAAACTTCAACTGAATACATATTTCCATGTAAAATATGGAAATATGTATTACATATTTTGTAGGAAAGTTACACATGAATAACAGTAGGCTCTCATTGATTTCCAGTCACATTTCCAGTGTCTTGTCTGTTTTTCTGTCTCTTTATTGTTTTTGTTCACTCCTAGCTCTCTGCTATAGTACTGAGTGACTTTTTAGAACATGCCAAATGGTTCAAATGGGGTTATTTGTTTATTGTTTTTTCTCTCTCTTTCTGTGTGGTGTATATATATATATATATATATATATATATATATATGCCAACTTGTCATTTAGGGTAGTCCTTCTTTACTTATTGGAAGGGGTATCCTGTCTTTGCAGCTGTATTTCAGACTTTGTATGCAGCCATCTTTTCTCATCTTCTGTTCTGATTTTCATTTCCTAGTTCAGAGGAACAGCAGCAAATATTCTCCAGTGCCATGAATAATGCTTGGAGTCTGTATAGTGAGGAAGTAATGTCTGCATGGATCTTTCTTGTTTCCATGTTGTTGGTGATTTGGGAGGTTAGTAGCAGACATTCCTAGCTGCCTTTCTTTATTGGAGTTTGAATCCCTGTTGATTTGAGGGATGACCTCTTAGGTTGCCTTTCATCCTTGTGATTCTTTGATAGTAAAAGTGGTAGTAATGCCACCTCCATACCACTGTACATTCTAACATTACTTTAATACAGATTATTTCCTTTATTCAAGAGCCAGCATGGTGTAGTGTTGGCCTAGGACTCTGGAGATCAGCGTTTGTATCCCCACTCAGCTATGGTAAACAACTGGGTGATCTTGAGCAAGTTATACTCTCTTGGTCTCAGAGGAAGGCAACAGCCTTCCCTCTCTGAACAAATCTTGCCAAGAAACCTCTGTGATAGGTTGATTGTCATAAGTCAGAAATGACTTGAAGTTACGCAAAAACAACATCCCCTTGTTAAGGAGTTCTATCACTATAACTAGATTAGGAGATAGATGAAAACTGTAGTGATTCATTTTGGAAAAGAACACATGTCTCCCAATCCCCTCACTTCATTCCATGGATATGGTGTCATCAAGGAGTGTCCATGTAAACTTTCATTTGAAGGATGAAGTCAAACTGAGGCCAACCAGAGTAAACTCTAGAAGTATCTTGGGACTACTTGTAGCCTTCCAGAATCCAGGCATTTGTAAATCAGTTGTTTAAATACAAAAGGTGCCTCCTCCTTGACAGTTGACCCACCAAGGATTCTGCTTCCACAGATTCAACTATCCACAACTTGACAATAGTCACATACACACACCCAAAAAATTCCAAAAAGCAAACTTTGATTTTTCCATTTTATATAAGGGACAGTGTTTTACTATGCCACTGTATATTATGGGACTTGAATATCCATGGATTTTTGTATCTACAGGGAGGTCTTGGTACCAAACTCCAGCAGATACTTAGCCCACTGTATTTTTTTTTTTTTTTTTTTACAAAATAAGTCCTGGACTCATAGATTCTTGTCAGTCCAGGATTCACCTTATTAGAGTTTCCTGACAATTAAGGAAAACATTTTTCAACCATTTGCCAAATATTTTTTATAATGCTCTTTCCGTCTCTAATTCTGGCAAAATTCTACAAATGGATAGCCCAAAATGATATTAGCCAAGTGTGTTGAAATTTAGCAATGACACAGCTTTGAAATAAGGACTCTGCAATAAATTTCTCTAGGATATCTAGTGATAGCACAGCCATGTTTTTTCATGATTTAAGGCAACCCCATGAATGAGAGATTACCAAGTCATCCTATCATCAGCTCAGAGGCAGGGTTATGGCTTTCTTCACTAAAGGTCTAAGCAGACTGCCAGAAATAGTGCACATTAAATTGAGGTACTGCCCTGGCTCAGTGCTAGGGAATCATGGGAACTGTATTTTATTGTGGCACCAGAGCTCTCTGACAGAGAAGGCTCAATGTCCCAGAAAATAATACAATTCCCATGACTCCCTAGCACTGAGCCAGGGCAGTGCCTCAATTTAATGTGCACTATTTCTGGCAGTCTGCTTAGGCCTTGAGTCTATCCATCTGTAATGCAATGTTCCTCTTTTCCTACTGATTTCTATCTTACTGAGCATTATTGTCTATTCTAGTGAGTTCTGTCGTCTCATATGTCCTTTTACCCCCTAATAATCTGTGACTCAAATCTTGAAATAAATTGAAATTACTGAATGAAATTTCATACCAAAAGTTTAGGAGAAATTTCTAAAGACACAAAATAATTGTTCTTTTTGCTTTCCATTCTGTTCTTTTTTAAAAGGTTGTACTTATGACTTTGTGAAAAAAAATATGTTTCATTGTACCCAAATTTTGCTGTGATCATTTTGACCTACTTAAAGTGATGGAAAGAGCAAAGTGTTTTGTGTCATCAGAGGAACACTGGATTATTTTTCAGGGTAGTAAGCTGTGGTTTCTGCTATCATACCTAGGTTTAAACTGTAGGTAATGCTTCCCTCTACAAGGCATGTTTAAAAAGCACTAGGGTTCAGCAGTGTATACTTTATAAATTTTGGAAGTAGAGAAGCATTGTTTAAAGTGATCAATGGAAGAGGCAACTGGGCACTAGATAAGTCAAAAGATGAATTTCCTGAGACAATGATGTAACTTTCCCTTTTAAGTACCTTATATCCAGAGTACTCCTGTTCCTACTATAAGAATATATTATACTGCCCCACTGTACTCTGCATAATACAAACCCTCTATGTTCCTACAGTGGTCATTTGCACAAGGCTTTCCATTAGTCAGAGTGAGGCAATTACCTCAGACGGCAGTTGCTGGGAGAAAGTAGTGAGGGCTGTCTAACCAGGCCTCCCTCTCAGCTATCTCCTTTGCTTGAGGACAGATCTATGTGTTCCTCACCCCTTATACTGCACACTCTATTGATCTAAAATAACCTGCAGACTTCAAGCACGGGGGAAGGCAATGCACTTCCAACAGTGGTAAAGAAAAAGCCTGCTCTCAAACCAGCATGCTTCTGTACTCTTATCCTTTGCTACAGGCAATAAGCCCTCTTGGTTTATAGTCCTAAATATAAATAACCTTTTCAGAAGGTAGAAATAATTGTTCTTTGTGTGAAATAATATAGTCAAGTAAACAGATATCTTCTTCATATATTACAGGTGATTTTTAAAAAAATAATCCAGTTCCTGAAGCTGATCTATATATTTTGGCTAAAATTCTCCATGCCTGGGATGATGAGAAGTGTTTGTCTCTGCTAATTAAACTACACATAATAATAATAATAATAATAATAATAATAATAATAATAA